TCGTTTGGAGCCTGAGTCTGCGCAGTAGAGATTCGTTTGGAGCCAGAGTCTGCGCAGTAGAGATTCGTTTGGAGCCCGAGTCTGCGCCGTAGAGATTCGTTTGGAGCCCGAGTCTGCGCAGTAGAGATTCGTTTGGAGCCCGAGTCTGCGCAGTAGTGTCGTGAGGTGGAGCCGCGGTATCAAACTCCCGCAGACCCAATCAACTATAACAACACGCCCCGTTTTTTATAGCATCAAATTACTAGCTAAAATCAAACTTATCACAAAAACGAACAATTATCAGCGTGATAACTACCTTAAATTACCAAAACTATCTTTCGGAAAATTGTATTGGAAGCGTAATTAATTTTTTTATTTTGACTCAACTCTCATTCGTTTACATGGAGAGGGTGGGGCTTATGACCTGTACACTGCAGCCAGCCACCAGGGGGCGATCAAAGAGCCCGCAGCTTCACTTTTTAGGACGTGTGAGGCACACCCGGGACTGACCTGCATGCCGTCTTCTCCCCGGCGCAGCTGCAGCAGGCTGACGAGCGTGTGCTCGCTCTGCGCTCGGACACTGGTGTTCTTGTCCTTGGTGTTGTCCAGCAGGGCTTTGATGACCGGTTTGACCAGATTGGGCTCCAGCGCGGGAGTCTCCGCCTCCTTACACACCCACCAAAGCACACGCTCCGTCACCAGACGAATGTCACTCGACTGGTTCTGCAGACACTGTGGGAGGAGCCACGGCAGAGCGGGAATTCAACATCTCTGAAGTGTGTCAGTCCAACTAATGTGTTTGAGTTTGCTCGCAATGTGTACAAAAAACATCTTATGGAATACGTGTGGAATATAACCAGATAGGGCTGCGCGATAAATCAATATAAAAAAACATTCAGTCCATGATATTGATAAAGTTTTTGTTTTTACATTTTAAACAAGTAATTTTGTAGAAATTATGCCAGAAATATATTACTACTGTCTAGTAAAAGTACTTCTCAAAGTAATAATAATAATAATAAAACATGACATTGATTTACTATTATTATTATTATTATTATTATAAGGAATTTCATATAACCAATATATATTCATTTTAATATATTTGATTAACTTATATACTATACAACTTCTCGTGCAACACCTCACTTGACAAGAAAAATAAATATGCAAATTGTTACATTTTCATTTGATCACATTTTAAAACGGATTAAATTGTTGAGGTTTTATGAATTCATTTTTATTAGAGACTTTTTAAAATTATAAATCTGCATTAAAATACAGAATTAGGGAAAATGTACAATGAATTTCACACAGTTTACTTATAAACAAAGTTACATTTATGTTCATTGTTGAGGTCTAATGAATACGCCAAATGCATTTCCTGGTATAAAATGAAATATATGAAACAAAATAATATTCTTGTCCATATCATCCAGCCTAAACTGTATCCCATAATGCAAAGTGCTCGAATCAACCAGAAACGATATTGTGATAAACTAATTAACTAAGAATGAAAAATAATTCTAAAGCATTTATTACGTTAATTTCAACATTTACTATTACACATGAGACCCTAGTTAACATTACTAACAATAACCAGCTATATTTGTATTAACTAATGCTAACAAAGATTAATAAATACTGTAACAAAAGTGCTGCTCATTGTTTGTTACCAAGCATATTAAAGGGGTAGTTCACCCAAAAATGAAAATTAGTTCATAAATTATATGGTTAATAATAAAATAATATGATTAATAAACCCTTAAGTCATCCTAGGTGTATATGACTTTCTTCTTTCAGATGAATCCAGTCGGAGTTATATTAAAAAGTGTCTTTGATCTTTCAAGCTGTTTAATGCCACTCAGCGGGTGTTGCATTGCTTCTGTCCAAAAGCACTTAGAAACAAAAGTGTCTCACACGGCTCCGGGGGGTGAACAAAGGCCTTCTGTAGCGAATCGATGCTTTTTTGTAAGAAAAATATCCATATTCAAAACGTAGTAATCACTTTAGCGCTGACCTCATACCTCATCCGCTCGAAACTGCTTCTGTGTACAACTGCTGGCGCAAGCTACATTAAAGTGATTATTACATTTTGAATATGGATATTTTTCTTACAAAAAAGCATCGATTCGCTACAGAAGGCCTTTGTTCACCCCCCGGAGCCGTGTGAGACACTTTTATTTTTATGGATGGGTGCTTTTTATTTAACTTCTTTTGGACTGATGCATGCAACACCCGCTGAGTGCCATGAAACAGCTTGAAAGATCAAAGACCATTTTTAATATAACTCCCGACTGGATTCATCTGAAAGAAGAAAGTCATATACACCTAGGATGACTTGAGGGTGAGTAATTTATGGGCTAATTTTCATTTTTGGGTGAACTAACCCTTTACGTATGCAGTGTACATTATACAGTAATCTGTACGCTACTGTATGGTAGGCAGTTTGTCTCAGTGTATGCTGGAGTCAGTCTCACCTTGACGAACTGTGTGATGACGCGGGGCGAGATGCTCTCCGGTCCTCCTGTGTGGAGCTGGTGTCTCATCAGGTAACCCATGCCTCTGATGCCGCTGCAGGCGATGGGGATCTGCAGAAAACACACACACAGTTACATAACAGACCGCTCATGGATGCACAGTGCACAAAAAATGGAAAGATCTTATGAAAATCATATTGGCTGATGTTAAACGACGTCCAGGAGTCACAAGCTTTCAGGGTTCCTACAAATTTTCCATTTCAAAATGACATGCTTTTCCATGCTCAAATTTCCAGACCATATAAATTATTTTATGTATTTATTTTTAACACCATAGCAGCATCGATGGCTATATTCAAGGCAAAATCAACAATATTATGATTACAGTATCATTTCAATACATTGTTTACAATAATTTAACAATTTTGTCTTAAAACATACAAAAGTATACAATTTATTCAGTCATGTTAAACGATTACTAAAATGTTGATTGCCTGCTCTAAATGTCATGAAAAACACTCTGCTTGTATGATACATTTAATATATATATTTTTTTACATTTCATTTAAATTTAATATTTTTTTTAAATATTAATTTAATTTAATATTTTAGAAATCTGAATATTTTTCCATACTATCGTGTTCTCTTTACCTGTACTTACTCAGGTCTGAAAAGTATTAAAATAAAATTCAGTATTTTCCATTCTGTGTAAGAAACCCTGGGCTTTATTCAGTATGCAAAACTGCTGCAATGAGCATTTATGAGAAAGAACCAGTCAGTGGGTTTAGGAAAGTCTGAGAGGTTGAATATTTGAATATTTATGAGATTTGACTGTCATCATTTTGAGATTTATTTGGCCCCAAACACACTGTAAAAGGCTTTTTTTTGGCCCCAGTGGGTTCCAACATGAGCCAGCCTTTCTGCTGATTCACTGCGGTGTCTTACTCTGTCTGCGGTGGCACTAGATAAGACGGCCTCCAGCACAGACGAGCTGTACTCCTCCGAACACAATTGATCAGGAGCGGACTTCACTGCGATAGCCAGAGCCAAACTACGGCCGTGACGCACCATCCAGTCCACACCAGACACATCCGCTGCAGATAAACAGATAACATGAGAGGAGTCGTCATATGATCTGGATTCAGTTCTAGATTGAAGTGCTTTTCTTGATGCATCATCCCAAACCACTGGCAGGCCCGAGATGTGTGTGATCTTACCGAGGACATGCTGCTGTAACACACTCTTGAGCTCCTCTTCTGACAGGAAGGCACACAGCTCGCCAACACAGCCTGCTGAGGCCATTCTTGTGGCATCCTACACGCGCACACGCACACACACACACACGCGCACAGAGGTAAGGCAACAACGACATTGCTCACACAACCACATCCTGTGCTAGTTACTGTTTTAAAGACAAAGAACACATGCATTCATATTTGCAAATGTCTTTAAGCAAAGAAATAATAATAGGAATATTTTACATAAACGTCAATATATTTAAACATACATACATATATATAGCATTGTCTAAGACTAAAATAACAATATTTTCAGATAATATATATATATATATATATATATATATACATACACACACACACAAATATATTATATGTAATAATATATAATAATTGTTTACTCAACACATTAAAAACACTATTAAAATGAGTACATTTATATTATAATTTGTTTTAAATATATCTGTAAAGTAAAAACTAAAAAAACTAATGCACTACTAGCAGTATTGTAGTATCAAGATACTACTAGTGTTTTTATTTTTTAGATTTTCTGTTTTAAATTTCAATTTTTTTTTATAAATGTTGTAGTAACTTTGTTGTATTTTTGTCATTTTTATTAGTTTTAGGTTTTGTTTAAAAATATGTCTATATAGTTTTGATTAATTTTATTAAAATTGTAGTTTTAGTTATTTTAGTATTTCAAGTTAAATTAAATGAAAATGAGAAATGTTGCCTGGGCAGCTTACGTTTAAAAAAAAATTTTTTTTTATATTATTTTAGTTTAATTCATTTAAAGTTTATTTTAAAAAAATTTAATGAACAGAAATATGTTTTTTCCCTCTTTTTTAAATTATGTATTTAATTTTTGTTAGCCATAATGACCCTGGCTAGTAGCTGTACCTCATCATGTCCCAGCATGCCCAGCAGTGTGATGGTGATGTTCTTCCTGATGGAGGCGTCGACCTTTGCCCCTGCACCCTGGATGACGAAGCGCAGGGCCTGTAACATCGTCTCCCTGCAGAATAAAGACAATAACAGTGACTGATAAGCACAAAATCATTTGTATTCTCTACAGAAAATAGATCAGAATCCATAATTATGAGCAAGAGCTAATAACAATTAATAGGGACAAATTAATTTGGCAAAAACTATAATGGTTATGAATGATCAGCTACTGCCAGCTAGCCTTAAGACAAATGTATGGTTAAAAAAAACAAAAACAAGAAATAATTCCAGACTACTGTTAGAAACTTTTTCTTCCAAGCGTGACCACAGAACTGTCTGTATCTGTGGCTCTCTGGGATACTTAATTCTGATTGGTCAATGGTGTTATAATAAGCATTCAACTGTAAAATTGCTCACTGCACCAGTGCACAAATACTATTTCCTGCAAAGTTTTAGTTTCTTATCTCTCATCACTCTGCACTCTCTTTATTTTCACTTAATAAAATAATTTAAATGTAAACCAATATTTCATGTCCAACTATTTATTTGCCACGTTTGGAGTCCGTTTTATTTTTATTTTTTTTAAGAAAATTAATACTTTTATTCAGCAAGGATGCATAAAATTGATCAAAATTGACCGTACAAAAATAAATGCTGCTCTTTTGAAATTTCTATTCATCAAAAAATAATCCTGAAAAAAAATTAACCAAGGTTTTCGCAAAATATTAAGCATAACAATTAACATTGATGATAACTGAATTATTATTTCATTGATAATAATCAGAAATGTTTCTTGAGCAGCAAATCGGCTTATTAGAATGATTTCTGAAGATCATGTGACACTGAAGACTGGTGTAATGATGCTGAAAATTCAGCTTTGATCACAGAAATAAATTACTTCTTAAAATATATTGAAAAATAAAACGGTTCTTTTAAAGTGCAATATTATTTCACAGTATTACTGATTTCACTATATTTTTGATCAAGTAAATTCAGCCTTGGTGAGCAGAAGAGACTTTTTTTTCAGTACACTAGTGTATTTGCAAACTTCATGCCGTAACTGTTGCAGAAATGTACATGTGTTTTTTATGTGTGTTTTTTTTTTACCTGACTCCAGAGTCCTCTGCGTTGCGTATGGCCGACAGTTGTTCAGTGAACAGTGGATCTACTTTAGAGTGTATGGAGACCAGCTGACCCAGAGACTCTGCCGCCCGCAGCCTCACGGCCCGGCTGGAGTCCTGGAGGGCCTTCAGGAAGGTGGTCTGGAGCTGCGGCAGGACGGGGTTCAGAGCGATGCCCACCTGCACAAGTTTGTTTAAAATCACACTCTTTCATAAAGCCTGTATTCAGAATGGAACACTTTGCTTTTGCCATTTATATTATTATTATTATCGCTTCTTAAATAATTCTATTTAGCTTTATATTTATTTTATTTTTAGTCATTTTAGCACTTCAACTTCAACTTATTTGCAGTTCAGTTAGCTGCCAATGCAAGTTTGTCTCTGTAAGTGATTCTCACCTTCTTGGGCAGACAGAAGCCAGGTAAGTGTTGACCTTTGACCTCAGCGGCAGCAGAGCGGATGTCCCTGTGCAGGTCATCAATAAGGGACAGCTGACTGCCAGCATCCAGTTTCTGCACCAACACACACACACAAACACAGTGAAACTATGAGAACTGTATCAACCAAACGACAATACCAATCATATTTCATTACTTCTTGTTTAATTCCTGGTAGTAGCATAAATCAAGTAATAAATATAGGATAAAGAAGTCTCTTCTGCTCACCAAGGCTGCATTTATTTGATCAAAAATACAGTAAAAATTGTGAAATTATATTACTATTTAAAATAACTGTTTTTTTATATAAATATATTGTAGAATGCAATTTATTTCTGTGATCAAAGCTGAATTTTCAGCATCATTACTGCTTCATATTTTTGTGGAAACCGTGATACATTTTATTTTTGAATTTAAAAAAAATTAAAAAGAACAACATTCCTTTAAAATAGAATTTTTTGTAACATTATAAATGTCTTTACTTATTCCTTGCTCAATAAGTATTAATTCTTAAAAAACAAAAAAAACAAACTGACTTTAATCTTTTGAACAGTATCGTATATGCAACAATGTAAAATACTTAAAACATTTTATTTTAAGAGAAACACAGGCTTTTTGTCAATCGGTTTCAGCGATGCAGAATCAGCTTTGAATTGATTCAGTGAAAAAGAAAATTGAAGTAATTCATAGAAATGAATCAAACTTACCAACTATAAAACATCTCATACTAACAGGTCAAGGATCACAAAACTCGTCTATTCGTGGTTGTCGACTGGATCACATGAGATGAACGAAGACTTGCTCACCTTTGTGATGGAGTTGATGGTGTCCCAGCTCTGGTTGAGCACCTCAGGGTTGGGGTCGTTCATGAGCCGCATGAGGCCAGACAGCAGCCTGCGCGTGTGAGCGCTGTAGTCCAGCCGTGTTCGGGAGAAGTACCCGTGGAGGATGGTGACAGATGCCTGTCTCAGCCCAGCGTCTGCTCCTCGCGTGGCCTCCAGCAGATCCTCAATGATGATTCTCTGGCCCACTTCATCCTCCACCGAGAGGATTACAGTCTGACAGTTGCTCAGCTCCTGCAGAAGACCGGAAACATCACATTTACACTGTCAGCCAATTCTGACTCCCAATCATTTCTGAGTTGAGCGTGCATATTACTAGTCAAAGTGTGAGAATTATTACAATTATTCAATGTTTTATAAAGAAGTCTCTTCTGCTCACAAAGGCTGCATTTATTTGATCAAAAATAGTTAAACAGTAAAATTGTGAAATATTATCCTAATTTAAAATAGCTGTTTTCTATGTGAATATATTTTAAAATGTAATTTATTTGTGATGCGCAGCTGTATTTTCAGCATCATTACTCCAGTCTTCAGTGTCACATGATCTTCAGAAATCATTCTAATATGCTGATTTGCTGCTCGAGAAACATTTCTGATTATCATCAATGTTAAAAACAGTTGTGCTGCCCAATATTTTTTCAGGAATCTTTAATGAACAAAGTTCAAAGGAACAGCATTTATTTGAAACAGAAAAATAAACATTATAAATGACTTTACTGTCACTTTTGATCAATTTAATGGATCCTAGCGGAGTTTTTTATACTCATCCCAAACTTTTGAATGGTACTGAATGGTACAGTGGACACTTCATTTCCAGCGTTATCGTTGACATAATTGCAAAGATATTATTTAAACTGAACTAAGCTGGATGTTGACATCACTGAATTCAATGATGAACTGTCTTTAACTGAAAAATGAGTGTTTACTATTGTCATTTTGCATTATTGACACTATTTTCCTAATTAATACTGTTCAGTTGCTTTGTCACAATCTGTATTGTTAAAAGCGCTATATAAATAAAGGTGACTTGACTTGACTTGACTACTGAATCACGGTTTCCACCAAACTTTTTGGCACCACAATTGTTTTCAACATTGATAATCATTTAACGTTTCTTGAGCAGCGAATCAGCATATTGGAATGATTTCTGAAGGACAGGGTATCTGCAGGATTTCTAAAATCAAATTTAAGACTTTTTAAGACCTGCAGAAATGAAATGAATACCATATATGCAGAGTAGGGCCATGTCTATGGTAACATATTAAATCATAAAATGACTGTAAAAAGTAAGTTTTACAGTTCAGATACAGGTTTTCACAAAAACAACAAGTTTTATAAAACGATACATTTCTTTAAGAAAAGGGATGAGTCAAAAGTATCAATTACATTAATTAAAACAATTATCATCAATCAATTATTATATTAATTTTAATAACAAATATATCTTAATTGTTTCGATTTTTATAATGCATTGACATTGAAATGTGCAGCACTCATTTATTCAATGAAACCGTAGCCTTTTGAAGTTTAATCACACATTCACATTAAGACGTATCGCAATTCTTGTCGTTCAGTCCCCAAATTTAAGACCTTCATTTTTTTTTTAATCATAAGACTTTCGTGCACCATTTAAAGGTGCTGTATGTAGGATTGACACCGAGTGGTTGAACTAGGTATTGCAGTCCAAATTCAAAATAATTGAGGGTTTTTTTTCACCTGGTCCCTCCTCCTCAGGCTTGACGCACACGCAGGTTGCCAGATTGACGACACCAACAGAAACGAGCGCACTTGACGATGGAAAGCATTGAGCCTTACACTGTAAGTTGATCAGCTAATGTGTACGTTTGCAATATTTGTATTGTTTGCAAATTATAAACCACCTCATGTGTACTTTTAGAAATCTGAATCTGCGTCTCATTTCGGAGGCTGCTGCTGCGTCCTCTGGAGGTCGCATTTGTCGGCCGCAAACATTGAGGCGCCCAGGTGTAAACGTAATCAAGTAGACTGTTATTCATTGTGAGGTGTAAAATACTATAATTTATTTCTTACTTTGAAGTGAAGTGAAGTGACATGTGGCATTAGTGCTCTGCATTTACCCATCCAAAGTGCACACACACAGCAGTGAACACACACACACACCGTGAACACACTCCCGGAGCAGTGGGCAACCATTTATGCTGCGGCGCCCGGGGAGCAGTTGGGGGTTCGGTGCCTTGCTCAAGGGCACCTCAGTCATGGTATTGAAGTACATTCACTCCCCCCACCTACAATCCCTGCCGGTACGAGACTCGAACCCGCAACATTTGGGTTACGAATCCGACTCTCTAACCATTAGGCCACGACTTCCCCCAAGACTCATTGCTGAAGAAAATTAATAAATAGTTTCACATTCATGTCTAAATAGTAGTAGCCTTGTGTTTTTTCTCACTGCAGCCTGAGACAGATCCCAATAATGTGCCCTCGTCAATATTTATTCTAGGCTAACGTTGTTGATCAAAGTTTTTTGGATGGACGTCGAGGCTTTTTAGGATGGGCAGAAAGTTCTATTTCCCGCTCTGACCCCTTTCGTTTTCCAGCTTCCATGAAATGAAATGCGCTGTGTTTCCTGCCAACTGGCAACCCGGGTTGCCGAAATACAATTGGGTAAACTGGCAGTGGGCGGGTTTCACAAACCAAAACAGACAAGGGCACCTCAGTCATGTTATTGAAGTCCATTCCCTCCCCCCCCCTACAACCCCTGCCGGTACGAGACTCGAACCCGCAACATTTGGGTTACGAATCCGACTCTCTAACCATTAGGCCACGACTTCCCCCAAGACTCATTGCTGAAGAAAATTAATAAATAGTTTCACATTCATGTCTAAATAGTAGTAGCCTTGTGTTTTTTCTCACTGCAGCCTGAGACAGATCCCAATAATGTGCCCTCGTCAATATTTATTCTAGGCTAACGTTGTTGATCAAAGTTTTTTGGATGGACGTCGAGGCTTTTTAGGATGGGCAGAAAGTTCTATTTCCCGCTCTGACCCCTTTCGTTTTCCAGCTTCCATGAAATGAAATGCGCTGTGTTTCCTGCCAACTGGCAACCCGGGTTGCCGAAATACAATTGGGTAAACTGGCAGTGGGCGGGTTTCACAAACCAAAACAGAGACCGACATTCCGGCCCGGATCGCACATTTTCAAAGGAGAATAACTGACTGTAGCATTGTTTTTCAGATCGACAAATATGTTCACTTAGCATGTTTCTTAAATATCTGCAAACATATTATGGTATTTTTATGCTTTAGTAGAGTCAAAAACTTACATACAGCACCTTTAAGACATTTATTGGCCTTAAATTTGATACAACTAAATTTAAGACTTTTTAAGGACCCACAGAAACCCTGGAAGAATCACGTGACACTGAAGACTGGAGTAATGATGCTGAAAATTCAGCTTTGATCACAGAAATAAATGACATTTTATAATATATTCACATAGAAAACACTTATTTTAAATTGTAAAAGTATTTCAAATTATAACAGTTTTTTATAGTATGTTTGATTAAATAAATGCAGCATGGTGAGCAGAAGAGACTTCTTTCAAAAACATTAAAATATCTTAATTATTCCAATTTATGAGTGGTAATGGATGTGTGATGTAGCAATAGAAATGATTGACAGCTGTCATGTTCACCTGCAGGCACTCCTCTGAGCCCAGCTTGTCTTTGAGAGAGGAGAGCAGCGCGGGTAAAATCACCCCGAGGTGTCGCGTCAGAGCGTCTCCTGCCACCGCAGACAGGAAGGCGAGGACACGTGTGTTTACAGGAGGAGCCGTCAGCTACAGAGGATAAAAATAAAAAGTGTTAAATAACACTATCTGGAATAGAGTCCAAATTTAACAGGTAAACAAGTGCAAGGAATATTCTAGTCTCAGTCTGAGAGACGCCCACAGCTTTCTCAAAACAGCAAGATCCAATCTGATTGGCTGGCTTTATGCCATTCCCTGGAATCAGCATGCACAAAGTCGGATTATTATTGCTAACTAAAACTAAAATCAAAAACAGTTTCGCCATTTGAAATAAACATTCACTGAATTAAATTATATATATATATTAAAAAAACTTTTTTTTTCAGCTAGTTTCCAAGGCAACATTATTCATTTTTGTTTAGTTGAAGTACTAAAATGACAAACTAATGAATAAATATGAATACTCTATAGACACACATATATATACACATATATATACACACACACACATATATATAT